ATTACCAGCAGTTACTTTGATGTTTAGGTAGAAATTAAGAGACGGGTTAGTTTAAAAAAAAAAATCATACCACTGAAAAATCAGTTTGACATATGGAGTTTTTTCAGCTAAAAATTGCACCAAATTGTAAGTTTATGCAAGTTAGTATTATAATGCAAGAAGCTTGAGAAAAACATAGTTTGTTTTTCTGTACTAGTTAAAAACATCTTGGCTTCTCAGAGGGCATGACTTTACAGTTACTGGTTAAAATTAACATGTTTTCTTATTTTACAGATAGAATTAGCCTGCAGAGCTTCTACATATCTTGAAATTTTGTTTCTGGCATCATTATATTAGTAAAGAGAGTCATAAATCTATTTTTAAACAGAGCACAGAGAGAAGTAGGGAGAGCTGCAGATTTAAAGGTGAAACAGATTTACTGGGATATGCAAATATATCTTCAAGTTAACAAGAAAAAAATATGCTATGCTATATTTAAAATGCAGCATATCCATATTTTTCTGGATGGATGGAATTGAAATTGTACTTCTAGGTATTTTTTTTATACAATAATGTTTCTTTGTATATATATATATATATATATATATATATATATATATATATATATATATATATACAAAATGCACTAAAAGACATCTCTCTATTAATCTATAAATATAAATATCAGTGTATTATAGTTCTCTTGTGTTCTCAACAATAGGAAAGCATTCAATAAATATATATTTGGGCTAATGTTTGGAAAATACAAAAAAGCGTGGAAAGTATTCGGGTTGAGTAACTGCAGGTCAATCAGCCATCAACCCCACCAACTTTCATCACAAAGTTACACCCTTGATGTGCATGAATATAGTTTTATGCTTTGCAAAAAAACAAAACATTTTTGAAGGTTTTAATAATGCAATATCCTTTCTACTGAATGCATCTGTGACACAAATAGCTTAAAAGCCAGGAGGAACTAGTGCACTTCCCCTTAAATGTAGTATTGCCTATGTTAGTGGTTTTTTGTCAAAAAGACCAAAAATACAGTGACACAGCTTTAAAAAAAAAAAAAAAAAAAAAAAAGGCAAAAGTACACCAAACATCCAACATCAGATTCTCCCCATTAGCAACAAAATAATCCCTGTCAGAATAACATTCATTTTTCAGGCTCCTCTATTCCAAGATTACACTCTGCTCCTCATATGCAGGAATAATTAGATGAACTCAGGTAACCTTTATGCGGGTGTGAGTGCTGCAGGTCACTTGTGTTTTTATAATGAGTCATGACTAAACTGTCTTGCAGCTCCATGTGGATCTAAATGCCAGGCTGCGACACGACAGGCTGAAAGAACTGGCCAGCACTGACAGAGCTTATCTTATCACACACACATGGCTTTCTGCGGTTACAGAACAACTAGATAACTTCAAACTTGATGGAGAGGAAATATTCGCCTTTAAATTAAAATATGTATAAACTGCAAGAATTGTGGTCGTTATTTAAATGGGTGAAATCTGGCAGCAAAACACTGCAAAGTAAAACTACTGCTGCAACTCAGAGAGCTGGAGCCATCCTAGCTTGCTAGCATGCTAAGTTAGCTACATTTGTGTCGCAGTGAAAAAAAAATGTTTTAGGTCTGAATGTGGGAGAATTTTCATTAACAACGAAGTGATATAAAAATCAACTTTATCCACGCTGACAGCGGCGTGTTTAATTTAGAGACTGCAGCTAAGCTAAGCTAGTTAGCTGCTGACATTGGCAGCAGGAGTCAGTAACGGTTCTCTGTTCTTACCTGCAGGAGGATCAGTCTGTGGATTTAGCGACACTTTTCTCTGCTTTCTGCTCCAAAGGAGGGCGTAAAGTGCATCTGTAAATGAACGCAGGCTGTCTGCTCCTCCTTTTCCTGGGGAAAAAAAATGCAGCAGAAATGACTTCAGGTGAAGGGATTTAGACGGACTCTATTGTTTGTCCGTTAAAGCAGCACATTTCAGCTGAAGGTAGCTGCTGGTCCTACATCCGGTCCGGCCCCTGATTCATTTCCACGGATCGATAGGAAAACTCAGTCCTGATCTACGGAAGTGGATTAGGGCCACTGAAAAAAATTAACAAACTTCACTGATTTTTACTTTTATTTCAGTTTAATATGGGAAAATGTCAGCATTCTGA